AGCAATACACACAATTTCGCACAAACTGAAAAATGTGCACCATTTTTCAGTATAATCAGTAATACTTTCAAAAATGTATTATAAATGCCAATAGAAGCTGACTTTTGTCTAATTTTTACAGTAATGATACGAATATCTGAACAATTAATGCACTCAGAATTTATTGAGGCAAAACGATACACCTACTTCTTTGATTAACACTTTTCATATAATTTAGACAGGGACAATGACTGACAGGTTGACACAGAGTTAACAGCGAATCAGAGCAGTACCTTCAGAGAGTTCCCAGTGTGCAACAGCTTCTTGAGGATCAGCCCTGAGAGAGAAAGACATGTCAGCCTGAGCATTTCAAACTGCAGTGCACAATCGACTTAAGGTTGGCCAGCTCTGATAAAATTTTACATACTTTTGAATTTGTTGCAAAAAAGTAGAAAAGCATTTGCAAAATGTATATAAATCTTGATAAACCCATTCAGGCCAAGAAAAAAGGCCATTTGCTCTTCTGATCCTCAGTGAAGATAAACAGTTTGACAGCCCCAGCACTAATAAAAATACATGCCGGATAGGAGGAGAACAGCTGCACTGCACCATGCCATGCATTCTTCTCTTAGCAAAGTTCTGGTGCTGGTTGGTTTCTGACATTACATGAAATAACCTAGCATGTGGCCCCACTCTTCAAAACTGGTTAAACTTGATTCAGGAACACATAGTTTGCTGGGACGATCTGAATCTGATCTGTTGCACACATATTTACTGTAACATGCGCTTCAAGAAAGGGGATGGGGGTGGTTTTGTGTGAGTTACCTATGCTGTGGAACTGCCATCGGCTCTGGATTCTCTCTGGCAGGAGCTGGAGGATTTTCTGGAGAAAAAAATATTCAGATATTGAGAACATTATTATTATTGGTTACGAAACGTTTGACTTGTTATGTGTTATGAAAAGTTTGTTGTATTTATATATATTTGGCAACTAGAAGAAGAAGATATACTTTTACTTATACTTTACACTACTTATTATTATACTTTTAACTAAAGATGTACAGCATAACCAAAGATCTACTGTATATGAAGACAAACTGTCGAGATAAACTAAACCTATATTAAACACATTCTTTTATCCAAGTACTCGCTGGACTTGTGCTTTGCCCAGCCTTGTTCTGAATTTAAAGTCTGCGAAGGGCCACATAAAGGTCAGTAACACACACATACAGAGTCTGCTATCTTATCCTGGCCACTCTAAGCACCACCACCCAGTTCTGAGTGTTGTTGCTAAATACCAGTGGTCTTAGTCTGAGGTCAATGCCGGCTGGTTGTGCGGTACAGACTGAGACCACCTACGGAAAGCTAGAGCGCATGGAATCACAAGCACTTCAGTGATTTAGTTTCACATAATGTCAGAGCTCCATTCTCTAGTCCAGCTGCAATCAAGTATTTAGTAAGAAGAGTGTCAGTTTTCTCTAGATTTCCATTTTAAATTAGAAATGTCCGATAATGTTTTATTACCTCAAAGATGAATAGGATGGAGTCCAGCTCCTCCCTCTGAGACTTGTGACCTGAAACACACACATTAGCGTGAAAGAAACCACAATGATCTGGCTAAATACCAATGATGCTTTTCTTTATTTCTACCCTGTGAAAGCAGACCAATCAGAGCTCATCTTAATGGTTTGGTTGTTAATGTAGACAGCGAGTAAAACTTACCTTTTTGCTTGAGGCTGACCTCAATGGTGACAAAGTTCTCAAAGAAGACATAGTAGATATGAGAGTAGTTCAGGTCGAAGAACTGTTTCAGCTCTGAAGGCTCTGCGTTTTCTGGAAAATGACAGGGGAAATAAAGCTGAGACACACAACACACACACACACACGCAAGCTCAAAACTGTCCACAAAAAAATAAATAAAAAATACATCAGAGGAAATGGAGACAACTTCACAAGGTTGGAGTTGGAGACAACAAAGTACTGTGATTCTGAAATGGACGATTGCACCAGTCATACGCTCTTCTCTGTCCATTTTCTATCTAAATATTTTAGATTTAGAAGTCTCAACACATAACAATTAGAAGACACCCTGTTGTCAAGACCACCGATTTCTGAATTTTCATCACAGGAAGTATGAGCTTGAGTAATATAACCTCACTGCAGCATCTGGGCTCTCTAAATATGCAACAGAAAAGACTCACAGCCCAGTCTGAGTCCCGGCTACAGTTTCAGACATACTGTTCTAAAGGATGTGAAGTTTACCTTTATGTGTTCTGGACTGAATCTCAACACCACCGGCTGTCATTGGGGAGGAGACACACTGACTCAGATGCAGAGATAAAACACATGCTCACACTGAGAAATCAACCACAACCATAGTTCAGGGTCAAAACTGAAAGAAAATACGTGAGCATGTAAGACACACACACACTCTTGGAGGAGCCTCTGGTGATAGTCTTTGGGTTTGTTTATATGAATACTTAAAGCTGAGCTCTGCCACACACACACAAACACACACCCACTGAGGCCGTCTGTGTTCTATGCCATAGTGGTTGCCCTTGTAAGGTCTTAGTGGTCAGGCTGAGTGGTTGTCTGTCTCTTCCTCTGGGGACTGACATTTTTGAACACTACCTGATTGCATGCGCCATCTCCAAAGCTGATGTACAGCAAATCATTTAGTCGCTTTCAATACTGGGTATAGTGGCACTGGATGCTATTTTAGTTCAGACCTCAAATGTTTGAGTATACGATGACCAGATACCTACTGGTGTACGTCACAGTCAACAAGTGTGAACCAGTAATCTATAATAAAATAACCTGATGTGGGTTCTGTTTTTACCCAGACCACAGCTATACTCTGAATAAGAAAAACAGCACATTCTGATTACCTTAGAAGTGCTTTTGCAAATGTTTAAGTAAAACAAGTTCCTCAAGGGACCCTCATGGTAGGATCAGAAAGACTTAGTTTGACTTTAAATAATGGAAGGACATTCTGACGCAATATGGAGGCGGCATTTTCTGTCATTAATTGCACTAAACTAAGCAGCTTGTAAATACACTACTAGCGGATTTAGACCATGATAGATTATTAACTTCTATATAAATGCAGTCAAGGTTAAGCCAGTATCCTCTACAAAACATTGAGGTATGTCATTTGTTTTTGGTCCAACGTCAACAACAGGCCCAAACAGTTACTTAATAACCCGATTGCATCAAAGGGATTGCAAAGCAATGAAATAGCTTCTTGTTGAACCATCAGATATGAACTATTCTATTAGAAAAACAACTCTTAGTGCTCACTCTCTGTTTCCTTTGATGGCCAAGGCAAACACTTTTTAGGTGAGGGTTTGTTTTAGGTTAACAAAAACTGCTCAATTGAAGTCAGCTTTTATGAGAATGCTGGCTACACAGACAACATCAGCAACATGGACGAGTAATTCTTGCTCCGAGGTATATCATTTAGCCTGCTGGCTCTCTGAAGTGGCACCGCTCCAGGTATCAATTCTTATTGGTGCTGCAACTAATAGCGCCCATACGCACTCTCCTCGAGTGGCGGTCTGGCACCATGATGATTTAAAACTGCGTGGTTAGCTATTGTTCGGCTGTCTGAGCATTCCTTCTCAAACAATGTGACTGCAAGTGTGTTTGTGTGCTGTGATTATTATCAAGGTCTTGTGTTCCCTAAAGAGCACAGAGAGGGGGCACACCCTTGCTCTCTCTGTCCTGCACACACGCACACACGCACACACACACACAGCCCAGTAGCTCTTACAATAGAAACAGGAAGTTGAGCTACTGTATAGAAACATAGAGAGGAAATAGTAGAGGCTGTTTCCCTCTCCGGTCAGTGTGTATGTGTGCATGTGTGAGAGAAAGTGTGTGTCAGTGAAGACACACACACACACACACACTCAATCATACCCATTACCCTGTAGTCTTCCTTAATCTCCCACGCCCTCAAAACATTGCAGTTGGTGGTATGTTGTAACACATCTTAACACTCAGCATTTCTCACACAGCGCTGGTCTTTGTCCAACAGTCTGGCACACCCCTGGATAAATCACAACAGCCTGACGACCAGCGTGTAGCATCACTGTGCCTGAGTGTCATGCAGTCAGCTTCATGCACACATGTTCTCACACGGTAGTAAAAACACAGCATAACCCCTCTATGCAGACCCTCAGTAAAACTCCAATCAGAAATCTGACAGTGTCGTTGACTTGCCACTTACACACAGCACGTCTGAAAACACTCGTCTAACTCAATTGATGTTGTTGACAGCGGATACAGCCTGTATGCACAATGGGAATTACTGCCCTCACAGTCATTCAGAGGTCGATCGAAAAGAGAGCAATAACTTTAAAGATGATGAACGAATGTATACATGTATGACAGGTGATCAAATGCTTTGCAATGAACTATAGGAGAGGCGCCGAATTTGTGAGTGGACACTACAAAATCTGACAGGATCTTAAAGTTTGTCATTCAAAGGCAGCTTTTCTGTGTACAAGCGATCAAACTTTAAATTTCGTGATTTTCGAGATGAGTTTTGGTGTGGCATTCCCTGTATGCACAGACTGGCACGTAGAAGCGTTAACTGCTTGTTAAAGATGTTTTAACTTACCAATGACAATTCTGAGATGTTTCAGCCTCGTCAACACGTCCTTCTTTGGGTCCAACACTTTCTGTGTTGATTTTTTAACGTCTCCATGAGGCTTTTTGGAAAACATTCCTGGGGCAAAAGACACAAGAATGCGATGGTAGACAGCAAGGAGGGGCTAGCTGTGTAGCCACTTAAACAGCCTCAGCTAGCGTTAATCTTCAAACTATGAGGAAAAATCGTTGCTCCTGGATCATCTATTAACGCTGCGCTGCAAATTAGCAGCCCTCCGCAACAGCGCGGAGTATAACGAGAGGTAAATTCTGTCGGAGATGAGGCATTCTGTTTAACCTAAGACAAATATGGAAAAACGTAGCGGGGCAAAGCATCCATCCATCGCACCTCCCTTCCACAACAGTCCGCAGCCTGAAGGCTAAACCAGCTCGGCTGTTCACTTAGAAAACATCATGGCGGAGGCGGAGGGGAGGGAAAACAAAATAATGGATACCAGAGAAATTCAACGCCAACATAGTTCAACAATAAGAAAACTTTTGTTATTCAGTTTAAAATATATCACATACGACTGTTATTAAATTGTGTTATACTTCTGACACGTTTCCAATTTACTGGCGTAAAGTTTTAAAAACCAGTCGAGAATTCTGTTCTCCGCCTCAAGCTACAGCGCTGAATTCTGGGTAACGTAGTTTACGTCTGGTTGTTAGCCCTTTATCGATGTCTGCAGAAAACTACAGTTCCCTATACAAATAAGAGCGCCGTAGTGAGATTTGTTTTTAGCTTAGCTGGGACACACGAGAGAAATTGTAACCGAGAAAAAAAAAATAAGTTTAAGCTTCTTTTCTTTGAAAATTATTATCCTCTCAGCATTCTTGCAGACGTCCCACACTTCCTCATCTTGTGAGTCATGATTTAGTTTTAAGCTTCCTTGTTAATTCTTCTAACAAGTCGTGCTTCCTTGCTACTGAACTATACTGGTTTGCTAACATGCTAACCCAATGCTAACTTGATGTGTTGTGCTTATTTATTTTGAATAGTTTAATGATTAAAAAAAACAAACAGCTAGACCTGCTTGTCACTTAAAATTGATTTGCATGAATAACCTTTTAATAATTAATCTCAGCATTATAATAAAGCCATTTACCAATAGGGCTTCTTAGGGATGCTCATTGACGTAAAACGGTATTTCCCACGACATTTCAAGAATAATTTATTAAAATGAAACACTATAAATATATAGATAAAGATAAAAAATAAAAAAATAAAGAAAACATCGTTTACTAGGAATATAATTGATATGGCTACCAACACCAATACTCATTCTACACTACAATGGTGATACTACATATCAAATGATGTAATGGACTGATACTTGAAGAATGGGTTTTACTTTTTGTTTCTTCTTATACTATCAAGTGAAAGAAACACAATTAATGTGTTCACCAACAAGTCATTTGTAATTATTTTAAACTGCCAAGCAATTTCAGTTGTCATGCCCATATGACAAGAATGCATCAATGGAACAATAGTTGTGACGAGAGAGGAATTTGCCCTTAATGTTCAAACAAGTTTAATCTTGTCTCTAATTAAGTGTAAGTCACTTCTCAACTAATACACACTCATGCAGGTATAATTACACATCACACGATGGAAAATATCAGTAATCATAAACATATGTATTATGGACTCTCTAGATCTGCTAATAATCCCTAGGAGAAGTAGTGCAGACATGCTATGAAATATTTTAGCTTTTTATCATCTATAAGCCCAAAACTAAACAAATAGAGTCAAGTGATACGTTCAAAGACTGTATCGGTTGTAGGTCGAACTGCCAAAGGAGCCTGACATTGTCTTTCTATCTAACACTACCAGTCTGAGGTCGACTTGCTGCCATGCCGGTGCACCGTGACCGGGAGAAGAAGGAGAACACAGCCGAGGAGATGGAGGTGGAGGATCAGGAGCAAGAGGTGTCCAGCTCAGAGGAGGAGGATTCTGACACCTCCTCTGTCTCTGAGGATGGAGACAGCTCTGGTGAGAAATTCTGAAACAGTAGAAAATGAGAAAAACAGCCCTTTTCAAATGATGTTGATGGCTGCCGTTAAAATAAACTTTATTTCAGTGTATGTTTTGACTGGACTTCCCATTTGCAAATATTTTATGGCTGGCAGATGCATAACCTAGCAGAAATATGTGTTTTGCTCCCATATGTCTCCTGAGAAGCTTCCTTTGTTAATATTACCTAACCTCGAGGTGTGTGTGTGTGTCTTTATCATGTTCCAGAAATGGATGAGGAGGACTGTGAGCGGAGGAGGGTGGAGTGTCTGGATGAAATGTCCAACCTGGAGAAACAGTTCACGGATCTCAAAGACCAGTAAGACTGAAACAAGTCAAGTTTACCCTCTGACATTGAAATTTAAAAAACATGACATGAAAAGGTAATTCATAGGAACTAGCTACGGCCGTAGTTACAGCTGTGTTTGTGTGCAGGCTGTATCGTGAGCGTCTCAGTCAGGTGAACAGCAAGCTGACAGAGGTTGAGGCTGGCCGGGCGGCAGAATACCTGGAGCCTCTGGCAGTATTGCTGGAGAACATGCAGGTCCGCACCAAGGTGGCAGGTAATGTCAACACACAGACACACTCACAGAGGCTTACTCATTCTTGCCTCCATGATTCACTCTTATAATGTGTTTCCCTCTGTCCATAACAGGTATCTACAGAGAGTTGTGTCTGGAGTCTGTGAAGAACAAGTACGAGTGTGAGACCCAGGCAGCGTGCCAGCACTGGGAGGTCATACACACACACACACTTTAATTTAATCCATTTCATCAATCAATCATTTTTGTTTTTTATTGTGAAAGTGATATATTTTCCTTAGAGTCATTGATCTTATGAGTCCTAAATATTTACTTTGTGTAATTGGCAGCAGCATATGTAACATATTGGGACGCATGCTTGTATGTCAGATCTCATTGTCTTTACTAATATAATGTCTATTCTTTTGTGTGTGTGTGTGTGTGTGTGTGTGTGTGTGTGCAGAGTGAGAAGCTGCTGCTGTTTGATACAGTACAGAGTGAACTGGAGGAGAAAATCAGAAGACTGGAGGAAGACAGACACAGCATAGATATTACATCAGGTAACGCAAGATCACTACAAGCACCCAGCTCTGTATATTGTATTCATTTCATGCACATAGCATTTTAATCTGTCTGTCTCTCTGTGTGCCTGTCTATCAGAGTTGTGGAATGATGAGGTATCGGGAAGGAAGAAGAGGAGAGATGCTTTAAGTCCAGATAAGAAGAGGAGACGACCTTCCGTGGTGTCTGATATCCTTCCACTGTTAATACCTCTGTTACTGTTCATATTCATACCACTAAGTATTTATACTTTTACTGCTTCTGTAAATCCCAAATATTGCTTTCAAGATTGTGTCCTCAGATATGAATTCCTGCCCTGTGGTACTGTCCTTGACTCTGCTCACGCCCATATATTGTTTACATGCTGCCTGACTTGGACATCCTGGAGGACTGGACAGCTATCAGAAAGGTGTGCAGTTGTGCCTGTTGAAAATCACAGCTGTTTCTTTGTCCCCTGGTGGCGTGTGTGTGTGTGCGCGTCTTTTAACCACTATGTATGTGTGTTGTCTTCCAGGCCGTGGCCACACTGGGTCCCCACAGAGGGAAGGCCGACCCCGACAGCTCAGTGTTCCCGTTCAGACCAGACAGAAACCGATCCATTCTCAACTGCTGAGGAACACACACACATACGCAAACACACACATAGTAGAACATTTCTCGGACTCTTCCCACAATCCACTACACACCTCAGCTAACAGCGACACCAGTCAGTAAGCTGCCTCTTGTGCCAACAAGCACACACAATAAGGACTCAAGGGTTTGCTTCCCTTTAAAGAACAAACAGGAATATAAGCATTGTTTCATGTTTCCAGTACTTCCAATCAGAATTGGGCTGATGGTTTTTTCTGTATCAGTATTGGTTTCTGTTTGCTGAGTGGAGAGATAAGAAAAGGTTTTCCTATTAACAGACAGTTATTACCAAATAAAGGTTTAAATTCCAATATCACACCACATATACATTATTAGGATATCAAGCTATATAGTGTTTTAAAGGCCTATGTCTGCTGAAGCCGCTGAAACTCATTCCAGTATTCATTACATACGATTAAATGTAATTCATACAGAAATGACACTAAAACTAATGAAATTATGTTTACATCTGAGCATCAGATCACAACAGTTTGTCTTCAAAGTAGGTATCACATTTTGGCAAAGGATTTTCAGTCCACTTGGGTCTTGTCCACAGACCACCTACATTAATGTTTTTAATCCTCACAGAATCTAGTGTTTGGTGGGGGCGCTGGTAAAATCTGGTGTGTTCACATAGCTAAAATGGTGTCATGTGACTGCTTGTGTTCTGTTTGTATTTTACAGCTAACAAGCTCCGTTATCTGATATGGCCTCTTTTAAGCAAGCAGTCACACAGGGTGTTTTTGCAATTGTTCGCAGCACTGTATTCACCCACAGTTCAAGAGCCTTTGCAAACATCTATAATGGAATATTTTTTTCGATACTGGAGCTTTTCCAAGGTTTCCCTTAATGGAGTTTTCAAACCAGTAAGTCACATTCCTTAAATGGTCTGTGACGAGGGTCAATGAGGGTTTCATTTCACAGGCTCCACATCATTGTGTGTAATCATAAACACAGAGATTTTTAATGAAAGGATATCGACAAAGCTTCCAATGACATGAGGAAATACTGGTTTATATATAAACCTCGTCGATTGTGCCATGAAAGACTTATGTGGATCAGTTTAAATGTCTTACATGAGAATAATCATTGCTTTTTGTTATGGTGTTTTGAATAGTTTGGTGGTGATGAGACAGTTTGTGCAGTTTTTTGTTGTTTTCAGAGAGCATCCCGAACTCCACAGTGCCTACCCTTTAAGGTTAAGTTCAGTCAAATCTGTATTTGTCTGTCATTTTTGCACATATTCTAGTGGAAAAGCAGTTCTCTTGTTTCAGGGGTGCATCTTGTATTTTTAAGAGTTGCAGTTTGTTGCTGTGACTCTGTTTGAGACAAACTCACTGATAGTTGTAATTACAATGCAAGATGAGGAAACATTTTTCAAGATTGTGTGTACATATGTGACCAAGACCGACATACACGTAGTCAGCTCATTCAGAAATTTAACCAAACCAACTAAAGCCCAAATTCAAGGAGGTATTAGATTTGTACTGTACACTGACATTTTAGGCGTTAACATACGATTTTCAAACTACCAGTGGACTTCCTCATATAACCAGCTCTGTTTGTGATAAGTGATGATAAGAGCATTGCAAAAACGGGTTATTTCAGTTGATCCTAATCTAGATCATATGCAGTGTTTATGCATTCTGACCTCACCAAACTCTTTTATAAAATCGTATATTTTTGTTAACATGGCTGGTTATTTTCATGTGGATTATCAAGTAATGTCAGTTTCTCCCCTCTTTCATCGCAATTGCAAACCCGTATTAATAATGCAATGTAACCACATGAACAAAATGATCTTCTAATAACTGAATGTAATACAAACAACATATGGAAAATGAGAATGCCAAGCTATCCCTTTACAGTTCTTATTCAACAGGTATTACCGTTACATTCTGTTACACATCTACCTCTTCTCTCTGTCGCTCAGTCTTTAAAGTAAGATCCACGTTTGCATTATTACTTATGAACATGAAAATGTTTCCATCTTAATGACCATCCTGACAAGAGTGCTGATTTGTTAGGAGTTTTTTTTTAAAAGCCTACTGTGATTATGTCCTTCCAGTCATATGCTGCCACTGAATCATCACAGATGCAACCCACTGTTTATAAAGGAAGATGAACAAACTGCAATTTAATAATATTGATTTTATTAAAAAAAAGAGTTTTTGGGAGATTAAGGTGGTGGGGGTATTCAATTCAGATCAATATTTTTTGTATTTTTTAACAATTGGTGTTAAATAATGTGTCAGGTACATTTGTGTCTTTCTTGTTGATGATGTGGGTGGTTTTTACAATTAAAAGTTGTTTTATAAGTACTTGGTGGTGCCTTGTTATCTGTATTTTTATAGCAGTGAAGACACTGTCAGTAAGGCTTAGGTGAGCACATTGATGCTTTACAGTAAATGTACTGGAAGAACAAGGGGAGCCTCTATATCTTTTAGCCCTTGCTTTTTGTAGGCAATAACTTCACTAATAATGAAATATTTAGCAGCTTTCTCTAACGGCGTTTGTTGAGTGCTTCACAGCTCGGAAGTAAATAGTGGCTGATACAGGAACTGACAAAGAGGCGAAACTTGCCTAGATCTAAGAGGACTTAACACCTGATTATATTAATATTCTTAATAAAATGACTATTGATCAAAAAGAACATGCTGTACATTATGCACATCTCCCTAACACAACCCTGACCACACAGTGAGTGCACAGAGAGTATAAAACCATCAATGACAGATGATGTAATGGCACATTGCTCATCATCCCACTAATGCACTCAAAGCTGTTGGAAGCACTGGCTGGCACAATTTGCACCTTCATTGCTTTTTCCACTCTCCCTAGTAAAACTGAAATATTCAAGAGGTTACAGGTGCATAATACTAAAGGGCTGAGCTGGACCTCCAAGGCATAACTATCATGTAATCTTTGCACACACTGCTTAATGTAGCTGAGTTTAGTCTCAAGTGAGTCCCTTAATCTTTCACTGAAGACAGTTTTATTGAAAAAGCACAGTTTGCTTGTTGCTCTTGGTTTAAAATAATAGCTTTGATTATGTAGGCAAAATCCATCTTCCAGTGTACAACAGCAGGCTTTATCTTTTAATGTCAGGGGAGAGTGACAGTGGTCATTTCCATGTATGCTGATATCCTGTGTATTTAAGTGGATGTACCTGGTGAAACAGAAGGATTAATACAGCTGTCTCTCATATGACATAGCAAGATCAATATCAAGTGTCAGTTACCAAAGCCATGTCAGTGGGCCAGCATTGAGAATATGAGGACCCTGGAACTGAATGACCAAAGGAGAATGTGGTGTGTGAGTTTCCTGCTTTGACATGTTCAAATATCTATGATTTTTTTTGCTTCTAATTTCTAGCCTAACCATAATAAATTGCTACTAAAACATATAGTATAAAGTAAGGTGATATTCTGTATACAAGTCAATACAGAAACTGGATGGGAAAAATATCATTCTCTATCATTTATAATTTTAGTGATAAAGCCGCAGCTGAACATTACTTTTTCAACAGGGATGTTATCTAAAATATTAATTAAATGATATACAGTGCACAAGTCTTGTAATTCAATCCGAGAGTCGCCATTCATTTGCAGAATGTTCTGTTCAGCATGTTTAAAACCCTGCTATTGCATGTCCTATGTACAGCATAATAGAAAACACTGATAACAAACCAAACCTGACCTCCAATCACAATCCAAAGCTCTGTTACTCCTGCTGGCCACTGATGAGTTTGCTGTTACATCTCCATGCACAACAAATTGAACATTAATACATTAGTGAAATAGGGAGACATGGACAATTTGACAGTCTTTATTTATCTATTAATAATCACTTTTTACATAATTCACATGGGTGTCAGCTTTACGGCTTTGAATGCAGCCTCTCTTCCAGTCAGTCCACTTTAATTCACCGCTCTGTGGCTGATGAGTCACAGCTCACCTCGGCATAACACAAGCGGCTAATATAAGCCACTTTTTTCAAGTCTAGGCCATATGCATTGTAACACGATCAAAAGCGTTGCTCTGTGAAGTAATAGCGTTGTTGATCAAGGCAAAGTCCTACAAATCCCACAGGGATGCCAGTGAAATAAAGTTATACACTTTTATTATATTTTAAGAAACTGTCATTTGACCTCTGATGAATATTTAAGATCAACTCTGTTCACTCACAGACAAAACAAGACCTGATGTGATCTGATTTAAGTGTAATCAGGTCAACAACAACAGAGATGCTAAATGGCAAATTTTTTAAAATGATGGTGACAATGCCAAAAGTGTTGGTATAACAAAATATATTGTATTAGTCCTAAAAAGATGCATTTCTTCCCTGATAGCCTGTGATCATTTCAATTTCTCTTTCTGTGCCATTGGGACGAAATGTTGACTGATAACTTACGTAAAACACTCTCATTCTCTGCCACATACCACACACAGCATTTCTACATGCACACATTTCATAAGTGCCATTAAAAACCTTTCTGGCATTACCAAGCAAACAAGCTATTATTTCTGGTTCATGTAGCAACCTTCCCACGCACAGACGTGCAGATTAAGCTGCTGTGTTCCTGTAAAATTACACAACAGAGCCTAACCGCTGTCACTGGGACTCCACAACAACAGGGCCTACTTTCACAGGGAATGTAGCTGGATGACGATGGGCAGGTGACAGAGAGAGAAGAGAGGATGTGAATAGAGAAGAAAGACCAAGCAGAGGCAGACGGTTAGCAACAAAGTGGGCTAATGAAGGCAGATGGTTTCCCCACTCTCCACTAAATACATCCTCCTGGCTAATAAGTAGATGTAAAAGAAAATATAAGGATGCAAAACAGCAGCCTGCCCAACCATCCATCTACCACCGCGTTAAACTTGAACCAGAAACATCTCAGGGCTCAAAGAAAAACCTGGCCGGGCTCAAATTACGTCTTCGGGAGAGGGTGTGTGCTCCTCTGGCGACTGGCTGTGTGGTGGGGAGGGGAGGGACTGCTGAGGAGGGAGAGGACCCATAGAACGATGTGGGAGGCCGTCGGGCAGAGGGGGCCGCATGGGAGGAGCGTGGTGAGGATGAGGAGGTCCGCCGGGAGGGAAACGAGGAGGGAACATCATCCCTGGGGGTGGAGGGGCCCACACTGGAGAAGGAGGAGATGAAAAGAGAGCGTTAGGTTAACTCTGATGGCATTTAGAGATAGCAGGGTGCTTCAAAGTGGTGAAGATAGCTGTGACTGCTTACTAGGCATCATGGGAGGGCCCCCAGGTCCCCGGGGAGGGTAGAAATCAGGAGGTGGTGGTCCATAAGGGGCTCTACGAGGAAAGGGGCCGTCCATGGGGCCCATCGGGGGTCCACCCACCATCCTTAGATCACCTTCAGGGGGAGTCCTTCTATCACCAGGACCAGACTAGTGACAGACAGAAAAAGGTTGGTGTTACAGAAGCTGGTCCACAGATCCAAACACACACATACTGCTCACACAAACACATCTCTTACCTCTCTGTGTTCCTGTTCACCAGGCCCAAGGCTGTTTTCTCTGTATGTGCCATCTGCATTGAAATGAATAAATGAGATGAACAACCATGAAGCAGATGGTTCATGTATGTTACTGTTTATTTACAGTCTGTAAATAGAGATCACACTGACTCACCTGCCATGTCTAAAGGGTGAGGGGGCCCAGGGGGGAGACCTCTGGGATGGAGAGGGCCCGGTGGGATGGAGCCAGGTGGAGGCAAAAGGCCCAGAGGTCCAGGAGGACCTGGTGGAGGTCTCCTGTACATTGGACCTCCTGGTTCTGGAAACATATATCCTGAGAGACACAATGAGAGATATGTGAAGGTTTATCAATAATATATCAACAGCTGTCTCCAAATAAAGCTACAATCTGTGGTGTCATGTTGATATTTCTGGAGGTTGCTCCATTTACAAATAACTGCACAATGACTGTAGATACTGAAAGCTACTGTAAGTGCAGGTGCAAGTTTGGAGCCTGACAGCTTAAAATAAGAAATATGTGGGCATTTGATGGAACTGTAGTTTCCAGTGTCAAAACTCAAAATGCATTAAAAACAATACACATGCACTGTCACAATGCATTCAGCATGCACATTCACACTGTATGACAGTGACTGTTGACTTGCACAGGTGCAGTTAATAACCTAACAACAGAGCTATGGTTAATGTAATATAAGTTACACCTGTGCAGTGACTGAAAGGGCCTTTTGGGTTGCCAAACAGTATGCAGACACAATGCCACGATGCCTTTAAAATATGCAGGAAGTACTGGGCCTGAACAGAATCACACGGTGCACATGATGCCACACAGGTTGAATTTTTTTACACCTATATAAATAATATAATAATGATGATGGTGAAAGGTTGACGACACAGCATGAATCCAGCGTTGCCACATGCAAATCCCTGTGAGAGTGAGGATATAAAATAAATGTTCCTTGCTGCAGTCTAAAGGCTGGACCTCACGTTGATATGCAAGAGCAGGAATCAGCAGGAAGAGAACAGTTTTTATCTGTGCAGTCACAAGTCAGTGCTAGCATTGTCAGCACTGCACAATTGTTGTTGTTTATTGAGGTCACCTTGGCTGGGATAGAATTTGTAATTTTTTTCCAACACTGGATAAAAAGCTCCTTTAATTAGTTGTTTAAATGGTATCATAAGCAGTGGCAAAATGCTCCTTTTAAAGGAGTTTTAACTCTTGAGCACTTACCTGCTTAGATTTGGATCAAACTGAGGAAACAAAGGGAGGACACTGATTTCTGTTAAATATGCTCTAAATCGTAATCCTTGATATGTTCAGTGGCAGGTCAGGTCAGGTCAGTCTGTGTGAGCATCACCAGGCCTTTCTAATGTTACAGGTTGACCCAGCGGATGTTACTGATTCACTTTTTGTCTCTCTTTGTCTCTCTTGCACACACACACACCTGGAGGTCCTAAGGGCCCGGGGGGTCCTGGTGGGGGTCCCCTGCGATCTCTCTCCCATGTAGGAGAGATTGAACCACTGTCTGAATGAGGACCTCCGCTCCGCTCCATCTCCCCTTGACCACCTGGGTGCTCCATTGGACCACGAGGCACTGTGGAGGAAAGGACCAGAGGAAAGAGACAGTAGGAGCGAAAGAGGTAGGAAAGGAGAGGTAAATGAGGTGTTGAAGGGAGAGACAATGAGGGAAAAGGGGAGACAAAGAGGGAAGGGAACAAGCAGAACCAATCGACCAAAAATATCAGACCGTTGGACCAGAATGAGTGTGAATGCAAGAGAGAGACAAAGAGGAACAACAGCATGCCAGCATACAGACCATGCTACTACACATGTTTAAGCATCTACAGCTGATCATGCTACAGCCAGCTGGTAATCTCCAACATGCTGCAAGTGTTTATTGTGATGACTTTGTGAGACTGAATTAGAAAATGTACTGTATGTAAAAATAGAAAGTGTAATTCCAATCAGCAAAACCTTGTCAATAAAAGCTATACTTAAACTAACTCAACTTGCAACTTCACCACTGTAAGATATGAGAAGAATGTATATGTAAGTATATGAATGAAAACTGGGAACACTATATGCTTTTCTGTGTGTGTGTACCTCGAGGAGACAGTCTAGCAGGCGGTCCATCCATTAGTGTGGGAGGAGACAGAAAAGCTCTGGTTTCAGATGCAGGTCGACCCAGAGGAGACGGGCCGTATGGTGACCTTTCAGCTGGAGGGGAAGGACAGTTTGGTGAGTGTCAAAGTCGAGGAACTCCGTAGCCTACTGCACTTCCAGGCTGGGGTCTATCAGCCAGGGGACACAATGTGAGCTCAGTAATGCGTGTGTGGTTTGTATGTGTGTGCTAACCTCTGAAAGGCAGTGGTCTAGCCAGGCTGTCCAAGGCGTAGGGATCTTTGTCGAGGGCGTCTAGTTTAAACTGTGTGTCTGTCAGCCTGTAAACAAACACACCTAAAGTCAATATATGACAAACATTTTCTGGACCTGACTCTGTAATGTATGCAGTATATAAATATGAAATAAACAAATAAAAAAAAAACAACAACCCAAAAACTGATTTCTATGAAATTCCGAATACAGTTTATTTTTGAAATTGTACCACAGTTGGTTTTATGAGCCAAGGGCAATTTTTGTGTGCAACTAAAAATGAGTACACCCTTGACCTTGTGTTGTTTTTAAGATATAAAATAAATAAAATTTCCGCATTAAAATGTCTAAACACACTAGACTTATGTTATAATATTTGTTAAGTTGTGTACTGAGATTATTTCAAATGTTTGTAACAATGGTCAAACCCAGAAAAATACGTAATTCTTTTCAGGTAACTTGGCACCATGTTCCATTTGTGCATTCATTGTGGTTGTCTGCAGAAGCTCTCATAAATTAACTTTTTATTCAGTTTTATGCCACATTTTTCTGATACATTTTTAGATCTTTTTAAACTATATATTTTATGCAGTTGAAGGATTTTAGCCATCAGACGTCTGGATCTTAAGTTAAACAAGCTGAGCAAACGTTAGCAGCAGCTCAGCTTGCAGGCCCTCTAGGACGTCCTTTGTCTGCCAAACAGTGTTTGAGAAACACTGACTTTTAAGATTAAACTAGTTTTTTCAGTGTTGTATCAGTTTAAATCAGCGGGTCTGTTTGTTTCGGAGGAGGAGAAGACCTCTGCAGATCATTCGGCTCCAGGTAGAAACCTCCTTCAGTGAATCCTAACCGTAAGAAGCTGACTGCAGTGACAACAATGCTGGTGAAGACAACAACTCGCATGATCCCACACCACTTCCCAATGTCTCCCCATCAAACTTTTTCTTTTGTTATTGTTTTGATGTGAGAGACTCCCTAGCAGCAGAAATGACAGAAATGACGTGACGTTAACTTCAGTTACTGTGTGCTTACTTCTGTCTGAAGAGGGCGTTCTCTCTCCTGATGTCTGCTAGCTCTCTCTCTGCTGCTCGGGCTGCCAGCTGGAAAATCAAGGCCAGATCAGTAACATAACACGTCATACAACACTATGTACAACACATACATAGATACAGTCAGCATCATGGTGTTCCGCTACAGCCACACCAACAACGTATGTAATGTATAATGTATTTGGCTGTACAAAAAAGTTTTTAAGTGGACTTTTACTCACCCAGTTATTGTGAGCCTTCTTCTCGTGTGCTGATATTTGAGTCTGGTAAGACTGTTTGGTCTTGTCCAGCTCTTCCTCCATCTCCCCTGCTCGTTGTCTGAAGAAAAAGTGGATGTACAGGTGAGCTGTGTTTTTGTGCATGGGAGGCTAAATGTCACAAATGTGTTTGGTAACACTTTGAGGAAGTAGCTACCTATAGTTGTTGAGTTCTTCCATGGCCAACGCAATGTTTTTGTCCGCTTTATTTAACTTCTCTTCTTTCTGCAGGCGCTCCTTCTCCTCCACTGTGAGCAGCCTGCAAACACACACACGTTCATCAGTGAGGCTTTGCAGTCGCACTTGCTACTTCTCCGTACATTTATGTGTGTGTGTCTATACCTGTGCAGCTTGAGCTCGTTCTCCTGGTACATTTCTGTCATAATGTGGAGTTTCTGTTGTAGTCTTTGGACCTGAACACATGAATAAAAGGAATTAATCCAAAGCAAATGGAAGTGGAACTACAATATAATAAAATATTACAGTAATACATAGTTGGGGTCAGCTACCTGATCTGAGTAGTGCTCAGAGTCTGACTGCAGAGATAATTTCTCCTTCTCCAGCTCCTTAATGCTCACTAGAGGGGAAAACAAAAAACGCACACATAGTGGCACACAGATTCAAAAAGCATTAAATCGGTAATATGTCTAGTCTCTACACTTGTTAGAACTCAGTTGTTTGTCTGTCGCCAGTGTAAATTCTAACTTTGTCTGGCTTGTTTGTTCTGTATCTTACAACCTTGAAACCTTTGGGGAAAAAGACATTGGTGTACAGTTGACTCACAATGCAAGTCTTCTTTAGCTTTGACTTCATCATTCAGTTTGGCAAATGCTCTGTCCTTGTCTTCATCGACTGATTTGAGGTCTGCATTCAGCTGCACAAAAACACAGCACATTAGTTGGCATTCAGTAACGTGTACCTACAGAGATGCTTAACCTAGTTTTGAATTCTACAGGCAGTTTCCAAACATCCTTAACATGCTGCTCCACTCTTAGCATTAGCTTACATCAAATTCATTAAAACTGTGTGCTTGTGTTCATTTTAGTCCTACCTTAGCAGCATAGATAAGTTTCTGGACTTTCTGGAGATGGTGTTGCGTTTGCACGCCATCTCCTCTTCCATTCTCTCCTCTCCCAGCTGTCCCATTGGACGACTCCTTCTCTCCTCCCTCACCTTCCTCTTCCTCCAGGTCTGAATCCCAAGCTTTCATCCTTAGCAGCCGATCTGTCAAGGACTGGAAGGACACAAATATATGGCATCAAACCCATTTCCAACAACATAAAGAAATAAAGGTTTTAACTAAGGTCAGTTTGCAGTCTTCTTCTGTGGTAGTTCTCAAAGACATGTCCATTATTTAAGTCCAGTCTTTAATTAGAAAACCCAGGGTATAATATACAGTAACTAGTTGCAATATACTAGAATTATTACCATTATACGCTCATCCTTGTTGGCCACATCCTGCAGCATCTCGCTGTGGGCGACCTCACACCTGCTGATCTCTGCCTCCAGTTCACTAACTCTTTCCGCCCATCCCTCCACCTGCTGCCTCAACTGAGAGAGAAAGAGAAGGACAGAGAGATTAAATTATGGTGCAAGGAACAAGGGGGAATAGAGGTGGAAAGGGGAGGGACATAGTTACAAATATGCCAAGAACAGATGGTACTATTAACAATTCTGTGTACATGTGATGCAAAGTGTTCACATATGTGATCCGACAGACTGGATGGAACTGGCTGAACAGTACAACTCAATCATGCAAATGCAAAACCACCTTGCATGCTACAATGTACAGTAATTGTCTGTGTGTAATGTGTGTGTAATGTGTGTGTGTGTGTACAACATCCCACCTGAGCATTGCTCTCTTTTAGCAGAGTGTTCTCCTCTCCAGCCGTTTCCAGATTCCTCTGTAGTCTGTCACTGTTCATGCTGTACACTTTCAGAGTGGTTTGTGCCTAGAGACAGACGGACAGTGACAATGTCAGATTAAACGTTGAGGGAAAAGATGAAGCATAAAGGAAGAGAGGAGAGGAATGTGATGTGAAGTTCAAAGAGGAGAGTACTGCACCTGCTCGTCCTGTGACTGGAGGTCTTTGGATTCTTCTTCAAAAGTTTTCATGCCCTCTTCAAGCACTGTTATCTGGAAGGAAAAAAAGAATCCACTCTATCAATGTCACACTACTGCAATGGATTCTCATTCCTATTCAAATGTGAGTCCTGAATGATAACTGTAGATGCAGTCAAGTAGACTTTGCCAGTTTGGTGTTGTTGTTGCTATAATAGTTTGTGCTCCTACCCTTCTTTCTTGCTCTATCCTATGTTCTCTCTGCTGTTCCAGTTGATCTTTCAGTTGTTCAAGATCCCTCTCCAGCTCCCTTTTAGCTTGTCCCAGCTGTCTGGCTTTGCTCTGGAAGAACAGGAAAACATGATGTGTTTAGAAAACTCCTTCAAGTGAAAGCAAAAGAGTAAGAGAGTGTGGAGCCACAGTGCCAAGGTGTGATTAATCATTATTCTAAATTGGTGAAGCAGCAAAACAAATTTAAGACCTTAAAAGCGGGTATATACAATATTTTTATAATAATGTATCAAATGACATGTGGAAGCGGTCGCATGTAGTGAAAATTCTCAACTGAATCTGCAACTCCCCTCAGCTGTACAAAGCTTTATAGTGAGTTTCGACTCATTGTTTAGCTGCCCTAAAACCTACAGTATACTACTTACTCCGCACCAAAAAGCAGACATACACACTTAGCAACTAGCTGGTGAACATAGTATAGTATTTGACAGAAGTATGGACATAAACATGACTCAAAAGTTATTGCAGATTAAATTTCAATGACATTAGCCAATTTGGGTAAAATGCACACAGATTAAAATATCTCAAAAAATCTGCTGTATTAGGTAAACCATTTAAAACAGTCCAAGGATTTAAGAAGAAACTAACTGAAGTTACATCTTATAAACAACTCACTTATAGCAAAACACTATACAGAAGTCTGTAGTTCAACAGTGGGGTTTTGTTTCCAAATAGTTTTTTTCTCTTTGCCTTACCTCCAGATGTTCTGTCTTTTGGGTTTGGGCCAAGACGCCACTGTCCCTCAGTGAACTCTCTAGGTCATCATGCTGCAAATGACACCAAATGAGGAAATAAATGTCAGCAAATGTGGGCATGACTCATGATAGTCATGCAGACTTTTTTCACACCATGGAGCTCAGTTAAAAACAACAAGTGTTGTGTGTCAGTCAGCATTGGCACCAGAACCAACCTCTTGTTGACATTTGCTGAGAGTCTCAAGGACTTTACACTTTTCATCCAGCAGCTGTGCAACCTGCTCTGCCATCCACTGCTCTCTACCTGAAAAGATATACAGTGTGCAGAGAGGTTAAATTGGCAGTGTTTAGATCATAAAAATGTCACATCAAGGAATCAGTAGTGAGAACTTACTTCGATACATTCTGCTTTTGACCTGTAAGAAATAAGAAGAAAACGATGATGAACAAGTAGTAAAAAAGGGATTCATCTGTTGATAAATGGGCCGAGTGTGGTCTCTTTGTGTCTATCTTTGAACCAACAGCGCCACTACAAATCTCTACTAAAATCTTTGTGATGTTGATGCGTATATACATGGCTGTGTACTCACAGAGCTGTAACATCTACAAGTGAACAAAAGCACTGTGACCAGCCCCACCAGACTGGAGAAGAGGACTGGTTCCCATGGCACCCCGTACAGGTCCGGCCCGGGTCGGATGTCGTCAGGCAGTGATGATACAACCTGAACCAAGAGGAGAGAGCTCTTTGTTTTTGGATCTGGTTTGAATGAGCATCTTAAAAAAAAAAAAGAGGTGTGTGACCCTTGTGAGTCAACATTAGGTTTACTCTATTTAACTTCGTGGATTATAGACAAAGGAGGAAGGAATACTCATTGTGGACGTCAGGATAAGCTCCTTAGTACTACATGGCTGGCCTACATACTTCTAATAAAGGAATAAGAGACCACCAGCTGTCTTACAACTGCAGAAGGAACCAAACAGCTTTCCAATTTCACCCTCAAGTGGTTGTAATGGTTTAACAATCGACTACTGAATGTGTATATATAACAAATGTGAGTCAGCTGGTATTGCAAGTAGTAGAAGCATTGACTATTTAGCCATAACAGTTTACTACTCAGCTGTTTCACAGACTGTGTGATAGTACAGAGTAGGTAGCATATTTATCTGCTACGAGGACATTTCAAAAACACAAGCATATTTTAGCTCAACGAATAGAAACATCTGGAAGGCACAACACCACATGATCTGACACACTACTATCAATTGGCTAGCTAACCATTACTGGCTAACTCTGTGAAAAACTACAAACACATCTCAAAAAGCAACACAAAACCTCAATGTAATCCTGACAGCGGGTAAACAGCACTGGTAGGACACACACGTATTCAAGCATGAGCTGTACACAAGTCAAAGATGTACGCAGCGATAGTACTAATACTAAGAGCTGTTTTCGGCTGCTTGACAATCCGCTACGTTGTGTCAGCTGTGACGGCTAGTTAGGAAATGCTAACGAAAGCTGCCACATAACGTAACGTACATCCTTCACTTTCTCCACGGCGATACTGTAGTAAGCCTCTGCCGTCGCCTGAAAGTCGACCGCTTTGCTCGCCACCTGGTCGCTTGTCGTATGTTCCTCCATTTCCGAATTTGTTCATTGGGTTCTTATTTTAGCGATATCTTTCATTTAAACTGACACTGATAAGCAGAAACTGAAGCCATCAACCGGGTACGCGGCGATTTCACATCCTATTCACAACACCGACGCTCAAGAGTGGACCACGTGACTTCACACGTCGTAGGGGGAGCTCGGATGTTGGATTCTCTCTACAAACTGTTCGTAAATATTCTGCTACACTGCTACTACTTAGGAAGTTGATCACACAATAAGCATAATATATATGAATAATTCATAAATAAATTTTGTTTGATTTTTAAGCACTCATAGGCTCATGTAGATATAATTACACCCCCGCCCGCACAAATGGTTCACTCGCAACGTCACCAATTGTAAAATGCCACACTGGCACATCGGAGCACTTTCAAAGTGACACCAACAGAAACAGGTGTCAATACATTTAATGGCGTATTCTCAATGTCGTCTTTGATTATCTCCTGAATAATTAATAGAAGTATTTTCAAACTTCACACACAAGTATGTTTTTACACAAACGCCATCTCTCTGGAGCACCGTGCGACCATGTGTCACTCGTGTTGAGTTACGGCCTCTGGCTAATAACAAGCTGCTAAAGTAGGACACAGGTGAAGGCTTGACTCAGTCCGACGTATAACTTTCACCAAATGTTTCAAAAGGTACTCACCACACTGACCTCATGTTGGCCCATCTGAAACTAGAGAATCACTTGCCCTCTCTAAACATTTGAAACAATTTGCCTTTAAAGCAGGTGGATTGCCAGCTGGATCAGCGTGTGTTATAGATCCACAAGCACTGAGGAATGTGAGTGATGTTGAGGGAGCCAACCTCGCTTGACAGCTGAGAGGAAGGCAAAGCTGAATGCCAGAGGGAGAGTCAGATCAACATGCCACAAGTTCAGTCAGAGTCTTAAAGAACCAGACTCCCCAGTGTAGACACTAGAGGAACACCTGTGTGGAAGTGGGTCAGGGGGTCCTCAGGTATATTCTATCTCCAACCAAAGATTCCCCGTACAAAATGATCCAAAGTAGCCTGTGAACCTTTAAGTTACTTGACAAAACATGTTTAAAACTGGGTCAGACAAAATGTATAAGTAAAAAAAAACACCCTGCTTTACCTCAGTCATCATATCAATGAAAATGCTGTAATTGAAGAAAACTGAAATAATATTCTCAGTTTTATAAACTGGTGTTTTTTTTAATTTGGTCCTGTGGTTGTTTTATATTCTGAATGGTGCTCAAATGATTTTCTGTTAGGATTTCAATTGATTTTCAGTCAATGTAAAATAATGAATCACCCCTCTGAAACACACAGTGGTTGTCTCTGTACAATGTATATAAAGGTATTGGGAAGAAACCTGAAAGATTATAAAGATTAAAGAAAAAACTAAATGTGTTGTAGCTGTGTAGTTAAAAAGATACACTTATGGTTTGGATCATTTAGTGATCATTTAACCTATGTTCAGCTCACATGGGTATCTTACCTGTAAAGTCAGCCATATGAGGAGCTCCGTTGTTGCATGGACGTGAGTGGTTGAGTCTTCAGCGGTCTGATGAACAAAGTCCAGAATCTGCTTCATTACCCCTGGAGCTGGAGTTGCAAACATAATGGGATTTAAAATGTAAGCTTTCCTCCTTTGTCACAATGATATTGGTAATACAGCATTATTTGAGATCAACACAAAGCTTTTATCTTCGTTTAATGTATTAAAATATAAGTAATGTTCTGGCCCTGCCATAATGTTCCAGGTTGTGAGCTTGTGTGTTGCAGGAATGAGGATGCAGCAGGTCGAGTAGCGCTCCTTCTCATATATTAATATCTTTTAATCATCTTTGAATCCTTCTTGATTAAGGCATACTTGATTCATCCATACCTTCCTGTGGCTGTGGTGGCCCTGGCTGAACATGAGCTCTCTCTTTGCCTCTTGTTTCCTTCTCTCCTGTTTTCTCCTCCTCAGTTACCCTCTCTTTTTCTGTGCCTCCACTATTCGGTTGTCCACCTTTCAATTCATCCATCCGTTCATCTCTCTGGACGTTCTTATCCAGACCTCCAGAGGAATCTCCCATCTTACTTGACTCTGCCTCAGTGGCCATTTCCTTATCTCCGCTGTGAGCTGAACAGGATTCACCGACACAGCTGGCCTCAGCTGTATTTAACAGGGAAACACATGCACTCTGATTGAGATCATTGCAAGTCAAACTCAACTCACTAAGATTAAATGATTAAATTAACTTAAAGTATCAATAATATCAGCCATGATCTTTGAGGCCTTGTAGACAAAAATACCTTGATGGTTTGTGTTAGTGAGGTCTGATTTCCCTGTGTTGAAAGTCTCTCTCACTCTCGCCAGCAGCATTTCTAGCTTCTGAAGTGCGATGAGCGTCTTGGTCTTTTCTTTGTCCTCATGTGGTGCATCCACGAGCCTCATGCTAGGAGCAACCAGTGTCTCCCTGTGGTAATGCAGAAGTCTTTCTATATCCGACAATATAGACTCATCATCATCGGGGTCATCGGTCATGGTTTCAGAGCTTCCTAAAATGTAATCCAAAAACTGCAGCTTGTGCCGCCCAAAGAGCTCAATCAAAAGAGTCATCTCATCCGCGCTCATGTGGGCGAGGAGGTTCTTGTAATGTTTGGAGAGGGTTTGTGTTTGGAGTGGACTTCCTGTGTTTGGAGACAGAGAACTGGGCTGAGAATGGGTCTGAGTCGGGGACGGAGTCAAGGATGTCTGGACGAAGGGAGGAGGAGAAGGCTGCTGTTGCGACAGGGTGATGGGAGAGTCTGCGTGCAACTCTTCAACATGAACCTGACTTGAATCTGTAGTGGAATCCAGTTCTTGTTCGGGGGTCAGAGAGGCTTGTGCCTCAGATGTGTCACCTGTGTTAACATCTAAAGTTGGGGTAGATTCTGTGGATTCTGTGGCAGTCGGCTGGCTGAAAAACCTAAAGGTGTTTTTGAAAAGGCCAAATGCTCCTCCACTTTCAGCCTCTGCTGTCCCTTTATTGTGACCATCAGACGCGTGTGGAACAGCTTGTTCAGATATCACAGCCTGACTTTCAACAGGGTCACTGGACGAAACTGAAATTCCCGTTCCTCCCTCGGCCCTGAACTCCACTGTACTATAATCAGAGTGTATTTGCTCTGTTTTCTTCTCAGTGGAAACCCCATTGCTGCTAGTTTCAGTGACTTCGGGCTTAGTTTTATCTCCCTGATGGAACACTTGGTCGTCAGAAGGGTCTGTGTTTTCTGCCTTAGTGGAAGTCAGTTGATCATCTTCTTTCTTCTCAGTTGTCTGGGCAAGTAAAATGTGACTGGGAAGGCTATTTTGGCCAGTCTCACCTGAATACAGCAGATCATTGTCAGTGTATTTCCCACTCTGATTAACTCCCAGAGCACTAAGATTAGAGTTAGCATTGTTGCTTTTGATGTCTTCATTGCCAGTTAAATTTGATTGTGTGTGTTTTTTCTCACCCTGCTCATTTTTCCCCTCATCAGCCTCAGCATCATTATTTCTTTTTTCTTCCTCCCGTTTTCTGTCCTGATCTCTGTCCACATTCCGTCCGTCTGCTAATGTCTGATCGTTATCGGCCATATGATTTTGCTCTCCTGTCTCTAATGAGTTCAGTCTGTTCGCAGAATCGTTTCCATCTCTGTCCATCACAAATCCATCTTCGCTGGCTTGAGGACAAAGCTCATTTGGACATTTCAGGCTCCCCTCTCCTTCTTTGTCCCTCCTCTCCCCCTGCACATTCTCCTCAGCCTCCTCCTGTTGTGTGTTTTCCTCCACTGTCTTCTCTTCTTCTATCTGCGGGTTTTCGGTCTGTCTATTTTCAGCCTGTGTGGATGTTTCTGACTCTGGCCTGTCAATGTTTCCCACCTCTGCCTCAAAATGAGATGACGGTATTTTATTTTCTTCATCTGCTTTCTTCTCCCTCTCCCTTACTTCTTCGACCTCCTTTAACTCCTCCCTTCTCCCCTCTTCTTTTAAGTCTTCCACCTTCTCCCACTTTTCCTCTTTTAGCTCTTCTATCTGCTGCTGCTGCTTCTCCTCTTCTTTTACCTCCTTCACTTCCTCCCATTTCTCCTCTCCCTTAACTGCCTCTCCCTCCCCTTGCTTTTCCTCTTCCTCCCTCACCTCCTCCTTGTTATCCTCTTCTTTTACCTCCACCTTTAATTGCTCTCCCACCTCCTGCTTTTCCTCCTTCTTTAACTCTTCTACCTCCTCCTGTTTACTCTCTTCCATTAACTCCTCTCCCTCATCCTGCCTTTCCTCCTTTAACTCTTTCCTTTTCTCCTCTCCCTTTAACTTCTCTCCCTCCCCTTGCTTTTTCTCTTCCTCTAACTCCCTCACCTCCTCCTTGTTTTCCTCTTCTTTTACCTCCACCTTTAATTGCTCCCCCGCCTCCTGCTTTTCCTCCTTCTTTAACTCTTCTATCTCTTCCTGCTTCTCCTCCTCCCTTAAGTCCTTCACCTCCTCCTGTTTACTCTCTTCCATTAACTCCTCTCCCTCCCCCTGCTTTTCCTCCTCCTTTAACTCCCCCACCGCCTCCTGTTTTTCCTCCTGCTTTAACTCTTCTATCTCTTCCTTCTTCTCCTCCCTTAAGTCCTCCACCTCCTCTTGTTTCCTCTCTTCCTTCATGTCCTTCACTTCCTGCTGCTTCTCTTCTTCCTTTAACTCATACTGTTTCTCTTCTACATTTAACTCCTCTATGTCCCTCTGCTTTTCCTCTTCCTTTGACTCCTCCACTTCCTCAGTCTCAGTCTCTGTATCCTTCTCAGTTTCATTAACAGGTTCCTTCAGCACGTGTGCCTCACCATCACGTTGTTGAGTATGCAGGGACACAGAGTCTGCCTTGTCCATCTGTGTTGTGCTCTCACTAGTGGGAGACATTTTTCTGTCCAATTCTGGTGCATTTTCAGTCATAGTTTCAGTACTTCTGTTAGTAGAATGGGACGATCCAAACTCCTGAGAGCTGCCCCCAACACGATGCCCCTCTCCCTCCTCTTCTAACTCACCCTGATGTGTGTCTGCTTCTGTGTTATTATCAACCACAGCCAGTGAATCTGAATGAGCGACATCACTGTGAGCAGGTAAAGTGTCATCCTCGCTGGAGACGGGTTCAATTTTCTCTTCGGCTGAGCCTGATGATAAGAAAGGCTGACTCTCTCCACTGCTCTCTTGTGCGCCACCGCTGACATGACTGTATTCTGCTGAGTCATCAGTCTGAGCCTCTGCATTATTCCCTTCACCTTCCTGATCATCACTACCAGCGCCAGTTTTAACGAATGGATCTGTGGATTCTTCCGTGGTATCGATCTGATTTGGGCTCTCCGCCCTCTCCTCAACCACGTCCTCTGTTTTATCCTGCTCACCTATAGATCGTCCTGTGGAGTTTGAATTTAAATCCACAGAACTGGAGTTGGACCCTAAATGGATGTCAGACTGTGTCAAAAAATCCTGATCAGTCTCGCTTGCGGTTTGCATTTCTTCTTCTCCTATGTCTCTGTTGTTATCCTCACCCTCATTTTCTATTGATGTGAGCACCTGATGGTCTTTACCCTCCATTTCTTCAACTGTTTCCCTATCTAGCACTTTTGTCTCTTTGTTGTTATCATCTAGAACATTATCCTGCTCTTCTTCCTCACTGCCGATTTGAAAAAAGCTGTTGAGCACTGAAGACATTCCACCTGCAGCCTGAGACTTCTCCCCTAACTTGGCCTGAGGAGAAATATATTTTTTATCGACCTCAGATGCTGCATCATCAGGTAAGACACTATCCTTGCTAATGTCTAAAGTACCTAAATCACTATTATCAATGTCAGCAGTGGGTGGCTCTGTGGTGCCAGGCATTGTATCTGTCTCTGATGGGGTGTTTTGGTCTTTTGGAGTTTCTTCCACCTTTGCTTCATTGCTATTTTCTGTCCTTACCTCTTCTGTCAGTGCAGGTTGTGACTGATCCACATTCTCTGAGCCTGTTGCCTGCTCTAAGGTTTCGTCCTTATCTGTCTCCTTAACACCACTTCCTGTACTCTCATCAACTTCACTCTTGTCTTCCCTGAAGCCTAAAATGTCCCCGATCCCCATATCAAACCAAGAACTAGATGCTGGCTGTTCTTCCTCCTCTTGGGTTGTCTCCTCTACCTCTCCTTCAGTTGTTGCCTCATGCCCTGACTCTTGATTGGTCCGGCCGAACCCCAGCGTGCTTGACAGTCCGTTTCCTAGCCAATCCAGTGTCCCCATGTCTTCCTTCTCCTCTTCGTGTAATTGGCTGCCTTCTAGGTCCAGAGACATCCTCCTACTCCTGAATGTCTCTCCTGGTTCTTGTTCTTTGTCGTTTTCTCTTTCTTCATCTTGCTCTTTTTCTGCGGTGTCTGTTTTTTCCTCTCCTCCAAAGCCAAGCCACCCAGTCATGGTTGAAGTGAAAGAATCATCAGTTTCTCTTTCTTCTTCTTTACTTATCACAGCATCATCCGGTTTCCCCTCTCCTCCCAACCCAAGCCACCCTGTCACTGAAGAACCAAAAGAAGCCTGTGTCTCTTGTGTCTCGTCTTTTTTCTCTCCTTCAGCCAAAATGCCAGGTTCTTCCTCTGCATCCAGACCTAACCATCCTGTCACTGAAGAACCAAACCACGGCGAGGAAGCAGACCCACCTTGTTCGTTCGGAGCCTCCTGTGCTTCCTCGTGAGTCCCGGCAGCAGCATCACCGCCATTTTTGCTTTCGTCCTCTTCTGTCGATGTGCCAGCAGCGTCCTGGGTTGAGGCTGGAAGTTCTGTAGAGACATCTGCAGGTGTTGAAGGACTTTCAGCGTATGTGTCATCGGTGTATGGGGTGGTTTGGGTGATTTCTGACTCCTGGTTTTTGATTTTCTCATTGTCATCACCATTGTCATCATCATCATCACCGTCCAGATGACTAGTGTCAATGGGAAAACCAGACTCATCCATACAGAAAAAATCTGATTTCTGAATGAAGAGAGGAAAGGAGGGCTTATTTATACTATACCATATCACAATATACCGGTTTACTAACTATTTATTATATTTCTTTACAATTACCTATTATAGTTATTATGAAAGAGTATGTTTATCTACTGAAATCAAAGCTTGTTTACCTGCGTTTCCACTACTTTCTCCATAGTCGCATGAACCTGCTCCTCTTTCACAGCATCCTTTGAGAAATAACCAAACTGTTTGTCAATCTGAAAGAAAAAAGGAAGCAACAATCACAGTTAAAGCCACAGCAGCATTGTGTAAGAACTGAAGGAAGGAGCGCACAACGATCAAGAGGAGAGAAACAAAGATGGCAAATTACATTTCATTTTACAGTCCTTATCAGTGTCACTTAGAATTAAGTTATAGTTAAGTGATGTCAGAAACCAGACTCACTGTGAAGCTGATTACCCTATAGCACACAAAGACATTGTATAAAAACTCTTAGAATTCAATAGTATACTTTAGATTGCAATATATGGTTTTCAAAAAATTACTCTGCAGTCTGGATTTTGTATCATTTCTGTCTTAACCCTATACCAATCGTCTGTCTCTATGCCTGTATATGTGAGCTTATGTGAATATATATATGCTGCACAAAACACACAGCGATGTTTTTTTTAACTTTTATTTCTGCACACATTTTCCTCCTTCGTAACCCTAACCCTAGGTTTTGATGTCAGATTTAACTCTAATCTTGTACTTCATTATACTGACAATTTCCCATATCCAGCAGGCAGCAGAACTATTTACAGTCCATCCAACTCATTTCATATGTTTCGCCTCAGTCCTAATGAGCATTTCTGTGTATTCAGGTGTACATTTGTTTTAGACACTCCTCTGTTAAAAAAAGAAGATTCAGGTTCGTATTTGCTTAAGACAAAAGCCACTCAAAGCAGTTTCACACATTCTGTCTGCTGTAGTACATAATTATACAAGTGAATTGGAGTGCTCTCACAGACAATTGCGTTTATCAGTTACAGTGTTCACATAACTGAGCCAATCAGTGCTGACAATCTGAGAAGTCTGTATTATAATCAAGACTAATCTCTTTAACCTGGAACCTGAGGTAAGGGGACTGTTTGAGTTGTTTGAGATATCGGACTCACACTTCCAGCCCAGAGGTCTTCCCTCTTTCCGGTCAGTTTGTGGTAAACGAAGATGGTGTCTCCTCGTCTAAAGCTCAGGAAACGACAGTCTTTTGCATGGTGGTCCTTGATGGCCTGCACTCTGCTCATCAGGCCTGCACAAAGACAGCAAGAGACAGACACAAAGTGGTGATTCAAATAGAAAATGGATGCATGGACTTAATGTACAGATTAAAAATATCATCATTAAGAAAGTTTTTTTAACTGACTTACATATTATATACAAAGTCATAAATTAGAATTAATAGTTTAGGACTTACTTTCACACTCAGAATCTCCACAGATCTTGTAGTCAGACAACAATCCCAGATTTAAATGAGGTAAAATCACAAAAACCAAGCCTGTACCCCACAGGATTTTGTAAACCAGCGAAACAGTCATTATTGTTGTTTAAACAGGAGTGTATGAGGAAGAAATGCCCATAATGAGGGGAAATAACTCCGGCCAGTTGTGCTGTCAAGTGGACATTGCCTCTAAGCTGTTGCTGTCATGAAGACTCAATACTAAATGAGAGAGCTGAGATAAGGTATAAGGCCAGCATGAGGATAAGCTAATTATTAACATCGTAGAGCTGCTTGCAATACAAAATATTATCTGGTCACTGGTCAAAGGTTTTTTATTTTATTTTATAGTTTCATATTAGTGGGGGGGATCACTTTGAAATAAACAAACAAACTTTGCGGAGGATGAATGTTTGGGCACCCTAAAACGTGGACATTTTGTGGACTTTTGCACCTTTATCTAAAAAGCTGACAACACCGCTGTCGTCTGTTACCATGGCAACCAACGCCGCGCACAAAGACAACGTCATCACCCCGCGTTGACGATCCAATATGGCTGCATGGTTTCGTGAGTAGTTTCGCCACCTGTGATAATTT